AGTACATAGTAACATATATGTATGCACATATGAGCCTACCTAGTAGATACAACTGCCAAAAATAGCACGCATCTATTCTTCTGTGCATGAAAATATATACATAAATAAATACATACATATGTGTATATATGTATGTATATACATATCTACATGTGTGCATATAATCGTTTGCTCTAAATTCTTAGTTGATGCAATTTTTATCCCATACATTTTTGCTGACCAACCCGTTTGCCTGTCTAATCTGCTTGCCTCATTTCCCTCGCTCGTTTACTCGCCTCGCTCGTCTGCTGCTGCAAATGAGTGCCTCGCTCGCAACGCCCCTCTCGCGAGGGCAGAGCTAATGAGGCCCTCGTTTGCTTGCCGCTCTACTCTTGCGCCGCCCTCGTTTGCTTACTCGCTCGCTGGCTACTCATCGCGTGCGCTCGTACNTCGGGCACGTCCGCTTACAAACATTCATACATAACTACATATGTGTTTATCAACATACATACATATGTGCATTCATACACATGTAAATGGGACACATACATACATATATACATATGGAAATTTATGATCTCGATGATTTTCGCTTGGAATGCACAATAATTGCTTTTTTCGTGCATCGAATTTGAGTGCTTAAAATTTTTTACGACTTTAGTGTGCAAATCAGCTATTTATTCGTGAGTGTGTTAAATTTTTTCGTACGCCCTAAAGTATGCAACAATGCTCTATACATATGTTGTTAAGTGAGCTGTAAATTAACAATCAACTTTTGAATATTCACATTCGCGTCACATTGTTTGCAAGTTTATTCTAAAAAAAAAAAAACCAAAACGGATAAGTGCATATATACATATGTATGTACGCATTTGCGATTCCAAATTATTAAAAAAGTGCTTGCAAACACATTTGAAATTCATATTCAATGCCACCAACGATGAAGAGTTAATTTGTTTCCAAGAACTTTTTATTTAGCAATTATTTCTTATTAATATTTAAGTGCAAATGCAAATGTTTACAAAATTTTCCATATCTAATAATTAACCTTTTTTTTGGTTGGGTGCAATTTTCTTTCAGTTCTGGGAGATAATCTCCGATGAGCACGGCATCGACCCGAATGGCATGTACGTTGGTGAAAATGATTTGCAATTGGAACGCATCGATGTGTACTACAATGAGGCCAGCAGTGGTAAGTATGTACCACGCGCTGTACTCATCGATTTGGAGCCAGGCACAATGGATGCTATACGCCAATCGCCAATGGGTATGCTATTCAAGCCAGACAGTTTCGTATTTGGACAATCCGGAGCGGGTGAGTGAGATCTAATATACATACATACATACATACATACATACATAAGTGGCAGTATTTAAAATTCATTAATTAGTTGTCACTACGGTGACCAGATTTCTGTGGCAAAAAATCGGTACAATTCTAAAGCATCGAATCCGATACTACAATATTGTGTTTAGAATAAAAAGACATAACATATTTGAATAAAGTTTTATTTAAAACAAGACAAAGAGACGAATTTTAAAAATGATCGCAAAAATGTACACAATACATATATGTATACGGTGGCGAGAATGTAAATAGGGAAAAGACATTTTAGCAAGTTTTGGCTACTTTTATTTGTTTAAAAAATGTTTTTTAATTTTTTTATGAAAATAAAACCGACTATCTAAAAAAACATGTAGGTCAAATTTCAAACTTTTGAATTTTTAAAAATGTTGCTCAAAATTTTAAATATTTTAAACAGATTTTCTAGAATTTTTTTGAATACGCGGTTTAATAGCCCCTTAAATTTTAGTGTAACAAAGTGCAAGCTTGAAGTACCTTGAACTTACCGTTGATTTATGCCAATTTTTTGTTCTCGCATATTCTTCCACAGAGACCATAATGATTACAAGAAATAAAATTAAATATTGCTCTATAATTATTACTGAACACTGGAAGAGTTGTTTTGTAAATTATATTCGTCTTCTCATAATAATTATGTGGGATTTTTATTTTTGTTTTGTCTCTCCGGACGCTTATTTCAAGACGGAAATGATTTACGTATCCTTTCAATAATCATATGGAACTTTTTCAAATGAAACTT